CCTCTACAAGTTTGCTTCCCCAGGTGTCCTCACACAGCAATATTCCTCAACTAATATTCAGAAAGAAGAGTCTATATGACTGTATAGATTCAAAAACAATACACATACATAAATATTAATAATTGGTAACATTTTTGATTTAAATTGTAATTCCAATAAAGCCAATTAAATTGAAATAAATAACTACATTTATTAATAGGTAAAACTAGGTTTATTAGAGCCAACCAACACACTGGTATGGTCCCTGTTATAGGATGATTTCTGCTCAGTGCAGAAATCCAAAAGGTATATTTGAGGTAATTTAGAAACAGTGACATATATATATTGGCTACCAGAACTGACATTATAGTCATGCTCATACTTAAACATCAATATATAGATTTGCCCTAAATCCATTAGTCCATCAGGCTCTCATGTGTAGTATAAGTGAATCTCAAAAAAGCAAATTTTACTTATTTTGTATATTTCAGACTAGGGATTTAGGAATTAATAGTGAATTAAGTTTGTTCCAGGTACAGCATGGTAATAAAACAGTATTTGTATTTGTCCTCAGAGTTGTCCCACTGGCCAGTACCTAAGGGACATGTTTACACACTGGAGGCCACAGCTTACGCTCTTCTTGCTCTGGTCAAAGTAGAGGTGAGCATGTCCCACTTGTGAGTTTCAGAATGCCAAGTTACAGAAAGCAACAACAGAGTCATCATTCATGCTGCCCGACTAAAAGGGTAGTGGGTTTGAAAACAAACGTCAGTGAAATGGGTTTTTAAGTAATGTCCCTGCCACAAAATGTCACAAATAACCCTATACAAGTATAAATATGATTTATCAAAAACATCACTAACCTTACACTTTCCATTACTGTGGAATACTTTCCAGAGCAATGTATGATTATACATAGACATTATACATATTTGCTGAAGTTATAAAAACAAGGGACAGATTTGAACATCCTCCAGCACTTTATAATCACACAGTAATAACAATTACAAACAAAAACAGACTTGATGTTTCTTGGGATTGATTGCTTGTATCAGGCAACTTTTGAGTAGTCTGCAGTCTGATTGTGCCATCATTCAAAATTACTTCAGCTGGCAGTTTTTACTGGCAGTTTGTATAACTGTAACAGAATCAGGACTTTCAAGTTATTTTAAGACAAAGTCAACCACAGACAATTTCAACAGTTTACTTTTCCTTCTGTTAATAAAGGCCTTTGAAGTAGCCAGACCTGTGGTCAGATGGTTCAACCAACAGCAGAAGGTGGGCGGAGGCTATGGATCAACTCAGGTAACACAGACTGCTCTCTACATCTTGATATAGTTTTGTACTGCTACCAGTTTTCAGTGCAGTTCCACATCTTTTGGTTTATAACATATTTATATAATAACCTATTTTTTCTCTTCTTCTCTCCAGGCCACTATAATGGTGTACCAGGCTGTATCTGAGTACTGGGCCAATGCTAAAGAACCAGAGTATGATCTGAATGTGGACATCTTGTTGCCAGGAAGCTCAAAGCCTGACAAGTACAATTTCAACAGGGAAAACCACTTTACCACGAGAACATCTACAGTGAGAACACAAACACAAACACACAAACACACAGTAGCTCATTAATGCCATCATTGCTTGTCTGCATTTTTCCTCTGCTGATAAGTGTGTGTTTGTGCATATTTAAATTCCCACAGATCAAAGACATAAACCAGAATGTGACAGTGACTGCCACAGGCACAGGAGAAGCAACAGTGACTGTAATTAAATGTTTTTTACCTGAGTTTTATATTATGTTGTTTACTGATGTGTCCTCTTTGAATCTATGAAAACCTTTTCTTTCTTTTTTTACCTTCTGTGGACTATTATTAAGACGGATTGCCTATTACCTTGTCACATATTACATGCACTTTTATCTGTGTGACAGATGGTGTCGCTGTATTATGCTCTGCCTAAGGAAAAGGAAAGCGACTGTCAGAGGTTTAACTTGTCAGTGGAGCTCATTCCAGGTAATTTCTTTGTTTTGTCTTAGTTTGTTGTCATTTTATCTGTTTGTGTGCTTGTTTTTGTCGATTCTGTTTGCTTACTGTATCTGCTTGTCCCATTACCCTGCTGTACATTCAAAAACAATACATTAAATGCTAATCTAATGTTTTGCTACTGCAGAGAAAATGGATGAAGATAAGGAGATATACAAGCTGAAAATAGAGGTCATGTAAGTACAATCAGGAAGTTACACAGCAAAGTCACACTTTCTTTATTCAGAAAACAATGATGGTCTTCTTCAGTACTCTTTACAATAAGCTTTTACACCCATTGGAGCTCATTTGAACTGCCCATTATTTGTTTAAATTATTTGTCCATTTTCTGTACAGGTCGAAGGACAAGAAGCACGATGCAACCATGTCAGTTTTGGATATTGGCTTGTTAACTGGCTTTACAGTTGACACCAATGACCTGAACTTAGTAAGAACCTTCAAAGATACACACTAGTGCTGTCAAACGATTAAAATATTTAATCGCGATTAATCGCATTAATGTCATAGTTAACTCACAATTAATCGCACATTTTTATCTATTCTAAATGTCCCTTGATTTTTTTTTGTCCCATTATTTTTTCTCATTTGAATTTGAATGCTCTTATCGACATGGAAAAGTGGATCGGCTTGCTTTGTGCAAATGTTTTATTGAAAACGACATTGGCATATACTGTAGTGTTCAATTTCACACTAACATTCTCACTTGGAGCAAACAATCTTTCACACAATGTATTCAAGTGGTATTTTATACTAAACGTGCTGCGATGATAGCTCAGTTCACAACGACAAAACACACTGATCACTTTGGTCTTGTCAATGGAACCATTTGGCAACTTTTTAAAAGTAAACTTTCCATTCAGAATATTATTGGCATCCATTTCGGCGTCTCGCACTCGCCATCCACTCAAAACGTAACGTGTGCTACTCTTAAACAAGTGTGTGCAGCATGCCTGTTATTTTGTTTCCAGTCTAGCTAGATCCGGTGTGGTGTTGTAGTTTTTTTTAACTTTACTAGTTGTTGCAACAGCATGTGAAAAAAACTACAAAGTGTGCTAGGCCAAAAAGAATGTTAATCTCGCGATATGGGCAAAAAATAATATCTCGTTTTTTTGGGGGATTTTGGCGATAACGATAATCAGTCGATATCCTTTCAAATGTGACTGGAATTGTCTGAGTTAGGGCTTGTGTCCACTAAACGCGCTTTTAGCACTGAGAGCGCTCAAAAACTCATTTGCCGAGCGCCCAGCGGTGTTAAAAGTTGAACAGATTTCAACTTGAAGCGCTCTGAGTGCTGCGCTAAAAAAGTATTTTCAAAACCAAACCATTTCCATGCCAGAGAGGTAGACCCAAGTCTCGGCACTAAATCATCTGAAGTACCGTGATCACATAGGCCCACCAGTCGTGTGACTGAATCCTGCCATGCTGTATTAAGTGGATGTGAGGAGTTTCTGCATGCGTTTCAATATTTTTGGCGAAGTAATTTAAATACTCGATAATGGAAATTTGCACATCGTCAAAACAACAATGACGATATTATCGCAAACGATATATATCGCCCACCTCTACTGTTTATGCTTAGGAGACACAAGATGTGTTTTATGGTTTATAAAAGTTGACTATGACAATGTGTGTGTGTGTGTGTAGTTGTCCAAAGGACGTGCCCGCACCATTGCAAAATATGAGATGGACACAGTCCTGTCAGAAAGAGGCTCACTCATCATCTACCTGGACAAGGTAAGACAATACTCTTTCTTCCTATCCCCTTTTCCCTCTGCCTTGTGTTTAATTTCTTTATCTCTACCTCACCTTGTTTTACATCTCTCCACAGATTTCTCACACTCAACCAGAAGAGATCACTTTTAGGATCCATCAGCAGATGAAAGTGGGCGTCTTACAACCAGCTGCTGTGTCTGTCTATGAATACTATGACCGTGAGTCTCAGAGACATATGCTGTCTCCATGTGTGGCCAATAGATAGTAGGAGTAGATAACATGAGGTGTCATTACATTTTCAAATTATTTAATCTGTATTTTTGAATGTACAGCAATTGGCACAAAATATATTTTAAATATCTTTCTTTCTTGTTGCAGAGACACCTTGTGTGAAGTTCTACCATCCTGAGAGGAGAGCTGGAAAGCTTCTGCAGCTCTGTAGAAATGATGTATGCACAGTATGTGCTGAAGGTAAACAGGATGTTGTCTAACTGACAACCTAATCAGTCTACTTTAAACTTAACTAACTTAAAGGCAGACTATGCAAGATTTTTACCTTAATATAACAGCTTCTAAGTCATTTCGATGGTAAACAAACTCGTAGTATAGCGAGAGGGACGCCGTTGGCAGCATCTTGCGAGAATCACAAATTGCTTTACGGCGCGACGTCACATACATCGGCGACATAAGAAGTAGCCTCAATGGAAGACACTAGCAGGCATTTACTCAGACGTTACCTGGTCAGTAGACATTTTCTATCTTTGCCTGCTCGATGTCCGAGCTTCCATCCTACTGAACATATATCGGTATACAGGGGGGAGGGGATCAGGCCGTGAGTGCAGAGACGCAGAGCCGTATATAGAGACGGCTCTGGTGAGTGGTATTTACGACAGTTAAGGTTAAATACAAGTACTCTGCAGCGACTCTAGGGGTAGCTGTTTGACAAAACTGGAAAACTGCATAGTATGCCTTTAACTACTTTACACCTAAACACAATAACATTGTGGATCATAGAGCACTGATCAGTCGCTTAATATTGGCTTATCATTCTGCATTGTCTATAAACTGCAGCAGTTTTTATTGTACTTCAGTACACTTGGTACTGAAGGAAGATTAAACACGAGTCTACAGCCATGCCATGGGCTCTCAAAGGCTGCCTAAGCACAGCAGCTTTGAGCTAAATGCTATTGTCAGCATGTTAACATCCCCAAATCACAAGACATGAATGTTAGAACCAAATTTCGTGGCGATCCATCAAATAGTTGTCGAGACATGTCACTAAAAGCCAAGAATGTCAACCTACTGGTTCAGGAGATCACATTTAACATTATGACTATTAATAATTGTATTATTATTTATGTGATGTGACAATAAAGCCACAGTCACTGAATAAGTGGTTGGTTCCAACTGACTTACAAAATGTTTCGTCACTTCAGAAATCAAATTAATTTATTTAACACACTTAAAAATGTTCCAAACATTGACTTGATCCAAAATCCAAAAGTATTTTGAACAGACACACTATTTTAACCACAGCTATAGTCCCTGACGTTTACTGACTATCCACCCCATGTGGGTTAGTGGTTCTTATTAATCTCCATGGTAGATTAGTAACATATTAACTTCCACTGCACAATTTCAAGGCAAAGTGTACAACTGTTAATTTGTGCCAATGACAAGTAACTCCTTGAATGATATAATTAGGAGGGTTTCAGTGGTTAAGAGCAGTGGGTAGTAGCCCACCTGTTTATTTTTAGGTTAGTTACGCATTCACTTTATCTGCTATTGTCTGCCGTTCTGTTCCGCTGTTTTATTACAAAAGTTCAATTTTTTACACAATATATGCTTTATATCAGCTTCCAGTACGTAGTATGTAATCATCAGTAAATCTGTGATCAAGACTAGGTCAAGCTTACTTTTTTTTCATGCTTTTTCTGTTATTCTGGATTTTCTGAATTCTGCTCTTGTGAAATAGTCCCCTGATTATCCTCTCAGACTTTGTAAAATTCCTCTGCAGAAAACAGTACAACTGTATCCTGTAAACATTACCACCAGTAAAGTGTCTGTTTAAAATCTGGTGAAGGAGATGGTCCGGGAATTAGTTCTACAGTAAATCAGCAGATTGTAACATAAACATCAGAACTTTCTGTCAGCGGCAACAAGCACCAGCAGGATCCTGTACAATCAGAGCAACAATCAGAGTCACTAACATACTTACATTGTGACTTAGATACACCTGCTCTCATCCATCAGCTAATCCACGCACCAACTTATGTCATCAGTTGTATATTACTGTTTCTATTGTGTACTTCCAGAGAACTGCAGTATGCAGAAGAAGGGCAACATCGACAACGATGATCGCATAGCTAAGGCCTGCGAGAGTACTGAGACCACCAGAATAGATTTTGGTAAGAGACTGTAACTTGACTGCATTTATGTTGTGTTTTTATCCAAAACAATTACTGTGTATGTTTGTGAGAGTAAGAGGTCGAGAGAACAAGGGAGCAAGCAAACTAACAATCTGCAACTTGACTATCCTCAGTGTACAAAGTGGAGCTGCGGAAGTTTGAAGATGGTTTGTCCACTGACGTTTACACAATGCGAGTACTGAAAGTCATCAAAGAAGGTTGGTATTTTTTGCCTCTTTCTGACATTTTATGGGCACTTTGTATCTTAATGGTGTTTCCAGTTAGACATTAAAATGATTGCCCATTTAAAGGGGAAGTCTGACATTTTGGGAAACACCACTTACTCACTTTCTTGCAGATAGTTAGATGAGAAGATTAAAAAACCACTCACATAATTATATACTAAATATGAAGCTATGACTAGCAGCTAGCTAACTTAGCTTGCATCGTCAGGCAACCAGTGGATACTCTGGGAAGTTACTGGCCAAGAAATAGTCCAGTATGTAACCCTGCATAAAAAGGGGAAATGTTTTTACATTTTGTTTTTTCGTATGCATTAAATAAACAAGATTAGAGGTGATGGTAAGTGAATTGTATTACCTTTGGAGAGAGTCAGTCTTAAAGCTAAACTAAGTTGTCTGGCTGTAGCTCCATATTTACTAACTTGTTGAACTATTCCTTTAAGCATGACTCCACTGGGAATATGCGAGAATACAACAGTAATCTCTTATCTAGCACCTTTAACTATGCATTTAAAATACCTTCTCTCTCTCCTCCCTTACATTTTAATTACAGGAACTACTGATGTGGGTCCTCAGGGTAAACTGCGCACATTCCTCAGTTACCCTCACTGCAGGCAGGCTTTAGATCTGAGAACAGGCAAAACCTACCTTGTCATGGGAACATCCAAAGATATTTACAAAGACGAGGAAAATCAGTCAGTCACTCAGTAAGTGTGTTCTTTGAGTGAATGTGCATGTGTGTTGTGTTTGTAACCCCTCATAACATTGTGTCTATTATCTATTATTGTTTATTATCTAAACAGTTTCAAGGCTTTTTAAATCAAGTTCACTTTTCTCGTACTCTAGTTTATGCCTTACATTTGCTTTTTTGATAGAGCCATTAAATCCTCAGTTTTTTGTAGGAAGGAGGGGCTTATGATTTTTCATGTTCTGTTCCAGTGTGTTACAGATAGCTGGCCACATGAATACTCATTGTATTTCATACTTTGCTCTCCTCAGGTATCAATATGTGCTCAGTGAGAGAACCTGGATCGAGTACTGGCCCTCAGAAGCAGAGTGTCAAACTGAGGAATATGGAAATACCTGTAGGGGAATAGAGGAGCTGGAACAGCAGTATGCGCTCATTGGATGTCAGTGAAACAAGTCAAATGTTCTTTTCAAAACCTCCACTGCTATGAAATATGAGGGCTGCAAAAGTTACAATATTACACTGCATTAATTAAAATGTTATGGTCTCATTGTCTTTGTCTCATATACATATTTACTTTGGATTATCGAAGAAAGTTAGACAAAAGGTGATCACTGTTATATTACAGTGGAGTAATGCATGGTAAGTTCAGCAATGTAAAATGAAACATATTTTTAAATCGGCTGTGATTCAGAATATGACTCAGATCATACAGCAGTAATATAGGGTGCATTTTAAGCTGTTGTAAAACCACTGGCAAGTTATGCAAGTGAAATAATGTGGTTTTATTGGCTAAATTGGTTTAGCAAGAACATTAAATTAGATAGATTAGAAAGTAGATTGTAAATCATGCCGAAAGATATGTTATGTAATGTCGAAGATGACTTTCAGAAATACTGTGATTATTTTAAAGGATGAGTTGAGTGAATTTCTTTCAGAAAATATAGGTTCTGTTGAAGACCCTTACATGTTTTGGGGTGTATTAAAGGGATTCATAAGTTTCATAACTTTTTACAATACACATCACTCTCTTTCCCTATTTGCAGACGATATATTAGTGTATTTCAATAATGCCCCCTTTTCAATTCCTCATATTTTGGATGTCTTTGCCCAGTTTAGTTTTAGTTTATGTGGTTACAAGATCAATTGGTCCAAGTCCCAACTATTGCCTCTTAATTACTCTTTAAATCCATCTATACTCCCTCCTAATATTCCAGTGGTTAAATCGTTCAAGTACCTAGGCGTTGATATCCATCCCTCCTTTTTTTTTACCTCTGGCTCAGGTTAGCAATGCATACCTATGGGGTCTCGTTGGGTGAAGCTTTATTAACTCATTCGCTCCATTCTCTACTAGATGTGTGAGGTCATACTAGAAGCTTAGTATCCAGGATATACTTACTAACTTCTAGCAGTCCATCAAATGTGGACTAGGGATCTTGGCTGTTCTTTCAATTAAATTTGCTGGTCAACAGTTTAGGTCAGTTTAGATGGTACTTCAGCTCCGACTGAATGATACCTCCACTGTAAGCCTCTCATTTCATCAGACACAAACACTTTTAGCTGGTTTGACAGCGGCAAATAAAAAAGTTAGCCCTCTACTGACAACCTCCTCATTTTCAGACTTTTTCAGATACATTGGCAACAGTCTTTATTGGATATAGCATATATGGAGCTGCCAGAAGCAAGAATGCACAATGCCAAACAATCAACAATCAGTGCCTGGGCTTTATTTACTGATAAAGTAAAAGATATTCTAGGAACACGCTAGGTCATAGACTTTATACAACTACTCTCTTCATGTATGTATAAGAAGCCTATTTTTATTCATTTATTTTTAATCTTTCCATTATAAATCTTTTACTTTCTCTATCTTGTTCTGTTAAGGCCTATTACAATGTGATTTGACATTGATATTTCTAGTGGTTCCATCACACTGGAGAATAATAATGAAAGGAGAACCCTTGTCAACATATAAAAACAATACTGTATTATAGAGAAAGATCCTGCGTTATTAAATGATATATTGATGAGACACATTATGTAAATGAATGTAATGGTGTAATGTTCACGGAAAAAAGCCACTAAACCCTACTAGATTTGTTTTATGTCCCCATGGATATTTCAAAATGATTATACACAGCTTGAAATTACAAACTGGTTCAAGTAGTGCTCTGGATATTTTCCACTGTAATGGTTTGCTGTTGATAGCATTTCCCACTGGCATACTACTGATATTTTATGCAGGTCTGCCTTATAAAATCTACAGTAGTTGTTCTATGCAAAAATGCATTCCAAGTTAATGTGAAACTAGCATATATGAGTTGGACAAATTAAGTGGATGTCTTCCAAAGACTCCGTGCAAAATGAGGACTGTAGGCTTTAGTGATATCTCAGTGGCCTTCCAATGTACATATGGGCATGTGACTATTGTTTTAAAACAGACTGAAAACCTTAGGAGGTATGTGGATAAAAGGAGGGTGTTGGAGAGCGAGAGTCTACAATGACAGGAGACGTGGAATCTGTTTTTACTAAGGAGGGGTGTCCAATGGAGAGGATCAAAAAATGTTTTTCCATTTCTGGATTGCTAAATTTACTTGAATTTATGTGTTTTTTAAAATTAGTATTAATTATTATTCTAATTATTATATTATATGTTATTATTATAGTATGTGCTTTCTGTCAAATTTTAATAACTAATATCAAATGCATTGTCCTCATGGACTTTAGGGGTCCAGATTAACAAAGCTTTCTGAACCCAGAATTCTTGAATTTTCTTAATGAAATTGTAATTCCATATGATTTTTTCTAATATTTTGAGAAATGTAATAGTTTTTCAGAAAATATATTAAGATGATGCAGAAAAATTGTAATGAGATCAATAACAAGGGACTTTCTGCATTTGTAATCATTTACAGTAATTCATAGTATTGACAGATATTGGAAGTAAGAGCTTAACTCTGCTCCATTTCACCTGTGTTTGTGTAGCATAAGTCAAGGTGCTGTGGTCCTTTAAATGATGCCGGTAAATTGAATTTGCACAGTGATGAAATACATCAGACACAACAAACAAACAATCAGTCCGAAATATTTAATTGATCCAGTGCTGGTCCTTAGCCAAGATAATCAATAGATCACTCATTACATATGAAGTCCATGCTAGGGCAGAAGATCCTTATCTGAGCAAATATGTTATTTTGTAAATTCGGTCCAAAACTTTAACACTCGTATAACTGTTGAGAAATACAAAATAACATAAAAACATTAAGTATATTTGTCAGTTTTCCTCAGTTCCTCAGTAAGTCAGTAAATCCTAAACAGCATGTGGTTCAGTAACTATATTTTTAAAGGAGACCCATGATGCTCTTTCTTAGTTTTCTGTCATATATATGTTTATATATTTATATATGTTTCGATTGATTGGACACCGATCATTATGAGCCAATATTCACTCTAAATAGATTGATCGGCAGTCTCTACAAAGGGGAACAGAACAGCCATTCAGATGATACATTCATTTTATTCCACAGGAAGTTATACAGTCTTTGAACCACATAGAGTTTCTTAGGCAGGTCACCTGCTATAACCAGCACCTCATTTTAGTATTTTGCAGAGAAACAAAGAGAGAGAGAGAGAGAGAGAGAGACGTTATATGGTGGACACGATGGATAATTTTTTGCAAGCACTGACCAAGAAAAACACATTTAAGTTTTTAATAGACGTCATAGAAGACGTCACTTGTGTTTGTGGGTGACTAAAATATATTACTGACAACAAAGTCAACAGAGCAGACACATGATACCTTGAGAGAGAAGCAGAAAGCTGGTGTGTGTTAGACAGACGTGTCTAACCCTAACCCAACAATTTGAAATACAAATATACCACTCCCCCCTCACCACAGTCGCACTGCCATTCTATGGGAAACTGTATATTTGTAATGCTCCAATAATGAGCGTAGGCTGATATGGTTTAAATCGTGTCCCTAAGAAGCACACTGGAATATGTTGCACATGTTGTCTGCCAATAAATAAACAGTTGTCATTTCATATTATTTTAATTTTCAGGTTAATTTTCAATTCTACTATAATACTGTCAATGGTTTACATGATTTAATGTTAAAAAAACACATTATTTTTTACGATACTGGCAATTCCTGCAAAGGTCAACTGATCATGAAGTCACCCAATCAGTTTGTGGAGTACCGTTTAGAAGCCTCGAGTTGGGCATTATGGTCATCACCATGCTGCTTTGTTGAAGCCAGTGGAGTTGACGTACTGTTGGGTTGAGCTGCACTCTTTGGCTGTACAGTTTCGACTCGCCTGTAGAATCGGCACATATATATATGGTCCGTAGCATAAAACAATGACAGCTTGTTTGAAAAAATATGTTTGTGAAACGATTTTAGGCAAGAAATGTGTAATGCAGTAACAAAATTGATCACAAGGTAGCCACACCAAAAAGCTTTATTGTCTATTTTCCTCTGATAATCTAGCAACAGAACCAAACAAAATGATCTTTGGTATAATTTTTTCCAACTGGTGCTCAGCAACATAACATTGGTTCTTTATGTTTCTCTCTTGCAACTGGACTTGCTGGGAATGAATAGCATTAAGTTTAATTGTTGTAGGGACATGAAGGGAAATTAGTTCATCTGTGGAACACTTTTTTAAAGCTTTTTAAAAAAGAATCGTAGAATGTTAATGCAGTTCACTGAAAACCCTGGCAGTATTTGAAACTGCCTACTATACCAGCAGCACGGACACAGACACATACACTGATGCGCAACTTAACAAAGAATGGAAGACGTGGCAGTGATCCTGGTGACATCGCAGTGGTATCGGGGAAAGGCATATGCATTCCAGAGCAAAACTGGAGCGGGATGGAGTGCGAGATAAGGAGTCGCTCCAACTTTTGAAAAAATCAGCTCCACGCTCCATCCAAAATCCTTTATGTCAATCTGAATGGGACTATGATCTGAGTTAACTATTACATGTATTAAACTTCTTACAGTGTCTTAGGATTTTTTCGGTTGAGTTACTGTCAACCAAATAAAAAAAAATTAAACTTCCCGTCCTAAAATAATAATTGAGCTGCAAAATTCACGTATATTATGGAATTGACAATGGCCAGTCCTTTTCATTTTAATTTGATACCAAACGTGTGGAATGTGTAGCTTGGTTTAGTGTAAAAGTAAAGAATTTCAAGCAATAACCAAGAGGCATAAACCAAGAGGCAACAACTAGGCCTATTAAAGACGCTAACAAACTGTACTTAAACAGTTACTAAACAAAGTGTTAACAGATCAAACATATACAGATATATATGTAGTGTCTTGGCCAAACCAAATAACACACAAAGGGTAAACCAAATTGACGCCAGATATAACTAAACACAAAGCAAACTAACTAAACCCAAATCCCCCCCCCATCACATATGAGCTAGTGGTCTGGTCCAATGAGCTGGCTCTAAGATTTAAGAGTCCAGCACCCACAGACATGGCTTTTGCTCCAGCAGGAAGGAACCACCCCAACAATGAAGGTAACTCAAAAGACAAAG